GGCGCCCCCTCGGCCCGGGCCCGCGGGGGTGCGCGTGCTGGTGCGTGCGCGGCCTCCGCCTTGTTGTACGTTTCAGGTCGATGAATAAATGTGTAATAGTTAATGTGAAGACACATCAGAGCAATAACAATGGGATGAAATCAAAGGCTTATCCATCTCTGTTAGGAACTGCTGAATAACAATGTTGCGCCGTGATTGATAGCGCGCTTCGTTTTATGACTTTTCTATTGCTCTTGATTTTTATAGCAGTATAAACAAACTAAATCATTTCTTCCAAGTCTTCAGAGCACAATGGTCTTGGGGAGGGGGGCCCGGCCGGGGTGGCGGGGAGAGGGGAGGAAATCTGTAGGAGAGAGAAGAGAGCTTGGCTGACACGGAGCCTGTCAGAAAGAAAATGGCAATGGGATATATGTAAAATGCTCTAATCGCATCCCGCTCCTCCGCACACTTGTTTTGTCAAGTGTGCGGACCCGCCCGGGCAGCGCTGGAGATGTATTTACAAGGATTTTATTCCCCGTCATCTTTCCATTTTCCCAGCGAAGCCAGAAAAGTGCCAGTCAAGTCCGTTCCTTTTATCGTTTACTGCATTTCCCACCTGATCATATGAGCTGAAGTTCCCTAACAAGGAAAGGCTTAGCACGATGGCCCCCAAAATCTTCAGAATGACAAGAGTGTCTTCAGAAATCACTTCAGAGCAAAGTAAAAGGATTTTCTATGACGGATCCAGTGATTTTTCCTCAATAAATAGGTTTTAGATTGTTACACACACGTAGAACTGGAACAAAGGGAACTACCAGAAAATATATTGGTTGCCCCTAATAAAATTTATTTAGACAGTTTACTTCTCATAAAAAATAGAGATTGAATTTCGTACAAGAGTGCCTGCCAAGGGGCCAGGCGCAGGGAAATCATTTTTCCCTTTTCCTTCCCTTCTTTTTTCCGTAAATGAAGCTCACAGAGGCCCCGATCCTGAGGGCCTTGCACAGGCAGCCTGCGCCCCACCCCCCAGCCCAGCCGCCCTCCAGGGCTTCACTGGGCGTTTTGCCTGAGCAAGGACTGCAGGAGAGGGGCGCGCGGAGCTTAAACCGACAGAAACCTCACTCCCTCCTGCTCCGACCCTGGGAAAAGGCATGGGACTTTGCAACCTCCAGGGCTTTTTAGGAAACCAGCTCTAGGTCCTGCTTGAAGCAGTGTGCAAGGAAAAGGAGTGTATTTAACCCAATCCTGCTGCCGTTTAGCAGCGCAACCCGTCGGCCTCCTCTCATTACCTAGTGTGCAAGAAATAACAGACAAGCGGGGTAAAGTACTGAAGTCAGGAAGCTGGGCTGACGCCAGCAGCTGCTGTTGGGAAGGTTTGGGACAGGATATTTCGTGTGTGTGTGTACTGGGCTCCCGCCCGGCCAAGGGGCACCTGTCTGTCCGCAGAGCGCCGTGCCCCGGCCCCGCCGGGCTCCTGCTGCCTTTTTGGCGTTTCCAGACAGGCGCGCTGAAATATAGGATATGATGATGCACATTCCTGCTATTAAATGCTGAATTGTAACATTGTTCCTTTTAATGAGGAGCGCCTCCCTCAATAATTAACGACCTCGCCTTTCCCTATTTTCTTGCCTGATGAAAAGAATCAATTTTAATTCGTCGTAAATTACAGCCATGCTTTTGAGTGTTATTTGCTTACAGAAAACAAATCAAGTGACTTAGGCTCCTGTTTACTTTTCCGGATCTGCATAACCTAAACACAGATGACAAATCAAACCCCATCCTTTCGTTAGGCGTAATTTGGAGTTAAGAAATGGAAGAACCACGACACGTGTTTTCATTTCAATCAGCCCTTTCGAAAAGATGATTTCCTGGGAAATCAAATCCGAGGCTGCCAGCAGCGCCGGGTCCCAGCGTAGTCTTTCCAGTTAGAGCTAAATATTATGAGCCTCCCTGCCTCGGGATATTGCCCTGCGTGGTGCATTTCGGAGCTGTGGTATGCATCCCTCTTGGAAAGCAACTTTTCAAAGTTGAAGCACATGCAAGAGTGATTAGGACTAGCCTAGCATGGGGCTCGCAGCCACGGGATGTTCCGGCGACCCCCTTGCTGTGCACGGCCAGGCGTGATCTGGAACCGGACCGTCTATTTCCAAATATATTTAAGAAATACGATTTCCCTCCCCCGGGTTTAATTTTTTTTCATTTGTTTATTTTAAATATCCCTGACTACGTCTGACAGTCCCTCTCAGATTGCCTGCTGCTGACAGACTGTGCGGGGAAGCTCTCAGCAGCGAATGGGTTGCTTCAGCTAGAAAGGCTGGCTCCTATCAATTAATTTTCATCAGAACGATGACAACCAGTCTTTTATGGGGAAAAAGCTATTTTAATATAAGGTACGTTTGACCTCTTGGATCTATTCCATTCAAACACATACTCGTCCAACGCACAAGTCAACGCAGCCAAGCACGCGCGCACACGCACACGCACATCTCGGCAGCTTACTGGGGTGCTTTAGGTGATCAAACTTTTGCTTGGCAAACACCACGCAATGTAGCGCGGCTTGTTCAATCAAAGGCGCAGTGCTCGACTTATCGTGCAAGTGAAAGGCATGTTAGTACAACGTATTTAAAAGTGTATATCTTTGCTGGGGGGGGAGCACAGAGCTCTAGGAAATCTATTTTTTCTTAATAGGAAATCGCACCAACGGGCAGGATGAATGGACTCTCCGACATAACAATGAAAAATATACACCCGAGACTGACATGGAGCGTGTCGCCTTCCCTCTCTTTAACACCCCGGTTTTAATCCCTCCAGCTCCATGGGAGGAAGGCAATCAGGAGCATGCATGTTTTGTTTGTATGTGATAAGTTCGCTGCTTTTCTGATTTCTATTTACTCAAGATAAATAATCATATATCAGTTATTCAGTTAGGTGACAAGGCTAGTAATTGGAATAAAAAAGAAAACATCTCATCCTTATCTCTTTCTATAACTAGATATA